TATTTTGCTTACCTTCCTTTTAGCTTTTGCTGTCACTCCGGTGTCTGCTAATATGGTAGGGAGAGAAGACTGTATTTGAATATAATATACAGAATTAAGAAAAAAGCAATAGTTCACATAAAGCCTTGGTTTTCTTCATGTGTTATATCCCTTTCTGAATATTCTTATTATTGAACTTAAACAATGGCTCATTATCAGGAACTGTCTGTCATTGCTGTTCCTGATGGAGTAGCTGCTTGCTGGCATTTTTCTCTCTCTGAAACATTCTCAATGACTAGCGTTGGGCAAACTTTCATCCCTCGTGGGATGTTTTAAAAGACACAGGCAGTTCCTCTCCAGGATAAGCTGGAAAATTCTGAAGACACAAAGTCTCAAGCAGAATGCCCACCCACGTTTCCCAAAACCAGACTTTGGCTGTATTTACACAATTGATAATTAAGCTGTGTGTAATATTGCTCCTGGAGCACTCCCTGCAGCCTTTCCCCATTCCCGACCGTGTGCCCCAGGAAAACACAGATGGCCTGGCCAGGCCACAGGTTTCACGCTGAGCAGAAGACCAAGGACATGCCTGGCTGGAGGTGAACGGGTGCACGCCTGCTTGGCAGGAGGGAGAAGCAAGAGCACACTAAGACTACTTTGGCTGCCAACTGACCAAGCAAACACGAGGCCACATTCCTGCATCCTCCCTTTCATACCATGGTCCTGTGTTCATGTTCCTCTTTCAGATCCTCCATGACAAAACCGAACTCCCTCAAGCTGGAGCTACGCAGTGATCAATCTGCTCGAGCTGCGACCACGCAGGCACAAACCAAGGAAGGATCTCCAGTAGGTGAACTTTACTGGAACCGCTAAACATACAGTTTAAAGGGATCAATGATTGAGTAGCCAAAGTAGATGTTAGTTTTTCTTTATTATTCTAATTACCATACATTTTTGACAAGCATGTGAATCAACTCTACTGAGTTGCAGGACTTGTGCCTTTAGCCTTAAAGCTGACAAACATTAAGGACCTTTGCCATCTCAGCACAGACCTGGAACAGGTCAGGACCGATGAGAGAGCAGGGAAGACTCTCACTGTGCTGCACCTGCCACCTGAGGGAACACAAACTGTGTGGGATGAGGTAGCCATGGTTCTTCCCACACAAAGCTGAATTGGTGCAGATGGGAGGATGGCAGAGAGCAGCAGGATTTCCTTTCTGCTCACTAGCACAAGACCGTCAGCTCTCTGGGGCTGTACTTTCAGACTTAAGAGTCCAATTAAATCCTCAACTACACTGTTTTTCTACTGTGGTCTAGACAGCCTTTTCTCATCCACACCATTAAAGATGCCATTGCCTTCACTTTCTGACAAAGTTTTGATTTTTGCCTCTGTGACTGTAATGTCATATCCTTGTAATGCTCTTTTCGTGACTATGTCCCAGCCTGTGATGACACTGAGATGGCAGAACACAAGCCTGTTTGTCAGGTCATACTCCAGACTCTAACAGTGCTTCATGGGCAATACAGAGTGCCTGAGGTTATTGCCATGAGGCTGTCATGCAATATTCTCAGAGCATCCCTACATATCTATGCTAGGTATTCCTACATCTCAAATCCCCATTTACAGAGAAGAAACTAAGCCCCAGTTGTGCCCTGCTCAGTGCCAAAGCCATGGTGGCCTTGGCTTGCCCACATCTACGGTCAAGGCTCATGGCAGTGGTGGCTAGTGGGTCAGGAGGACACAGGCCTGCACAAGCCCATGGGTCCTTATCAAACATGGCCACACTGGGAAGCTGATGGCCATCTGCAGAGCAGCCAAGAGAACAGAAGGTGGGTAAGAAACCCAGTCTACCCCGTCCTCATGACCACGCAAAACCTATTCTTCATGGTATAGATCTATCTAGCGCAATGAGAAAACCTACTTAAGATCCTACAAGGAAGAGGTAGACAGGAACTGAACTCTTCTCCAGAGACCTACGCCAACATTACAGGGGACTGTATCCCCTCTCCAGGGCAACATGCCACTTCCCACACAACACTTGTGCAGTTAGCTCTATGCAATTGCAATATAAAAGATACAGGACACTCTTGGGAGAACTACGCAGAACTTGCACCATTCCTCAGCCTAAAGTATTTGTCTCAACATTCCAGTTGTAACACAAGGCTCATCATTTTGGGTAGCAGTGAATATTGTATGAACAGCAATTTTGCGTAAAAATAGCATATTCTTCTTGCTTTCCCTTACAAACAAAACATTGTTTTTGTTGCATACAAATGGAGAGTCAATGTTTTGAGATTCAGTACAGATGCAGCCTTCTAGAAGCATTTTATAAGGTGGGGAGTAACAGCCTGAGAGTTACTAAAACTGTATTTGGTAAATTTAGAGTCTAAGCAATACTGAACCAATATAAAATAAACAAAGAAATAAGCATTTGAGACTTTGAGAGGCTGCTAAATATTTGCCATAAAAGTACTTTAGTTTTCTTCTGTCTTAAGACTCTCATATTTGGAAACGAGGGTGTGAATATATATATAGTTTGCAAAATTTTTAGGACTTTTTTAAAAAATTGGAGCTATGCCCTCTTTTAACATTTACTCTTGACTATTTCCTATTGACAGTCACTAAAACAAAGACTGCATATTAATGCAGACAAGAGTTTCATTCATAGACGGTGAGCTACAACATGATTATCTGCAAGAGCAAAGATCACTCACATGAATAAAGATTTGGTGGATCAGTGACTCTACTGATAAAATGAGTAAAATCCTCCTCCAAACACAATCCAAATATGTTTTCTTGCTACTTATCCAAGCAAGTCTACTTTTGCGTTGTTCCAGTTTAATTAACTGAAAACACATAATTATTAATGAGACCTCCGATAGGGCAGGAGAGGAAACATGCTTCTCAGTGATCAACTTGCAGCCACAACACAAAAACCAGTTCTGTTTGTGCAGGAAAAGCAACCCCCTCCTGCTACATTATTCCATTGATCTACAAACATTTACATCTCCTTTGTTAACTAGTTTGCCGTAGAAATTTCATAATCACTAAGGAACACTCTTATAACTGCACCTCAAGAAACTTCTGTTAAGTAAGCTTGTTATCAGTCTAAAAAACAGGGTCTGTTTTTGCCTTTGTGTTATACGTCAAATCCATTGGGATTTTCCTGGATGTTCATGATTCATTATAAATAATTCAAACTGGATTTACAAAAGAGAGGAGGCTGTACAATGAACATAAGAACTGCACGTTACTATATCCCCAACAGTCAAAACTAGTAGAAGTATTTCATAAAGCCCAATCATAAAACATTTTCTCCTACTCTTTCACGTTGTTTCGTGATCTACATTCAGTATCAGGTTGATGAAAAAAAAAAAACATTTTGGTGGATTCTGTCCAACATAATAATAAAGTCTAATTAACAAGTTCTTGTTATGCTATGGCAAGAGCATACCCTCACTTGAATAAACTCTGTTATCCATACAATGTGCCCTGAAACCAAACAAAGACAACATTAGGAGCTCACAGATAAACCAGAAAGACCTTTCAAGTATCACTGCAGCAACATTAACGTAAGGTGCATTCCCCTCCCATGTGAGTAACTAGGCACTGCTACGGGAAGCTGAGACCAAGAACACACTGTTTATTTATCTATGTATTTATTTTAGGCACTTTTACGAGTAACAAGTGTTCTGAGTTACAGCAGTTAATAACACAATTTGAAAAGTCATGTTCAGCTTTAAGTTTCAGGGTTTAAATCCTATATTTAAGATTTGTTGTAAATGTGATGCTGATGCTGCACCATATGAGAGTGACTGCAGACGTAACACAAACCTGGCTTTGTGCACCAATTCTTGATTTAAAAAGTGATCAGCGGGTGAAGATTTGCCTTAAGAACAGCTAATGAGCAGTGGAGTTTTTTGGGTATTATGTACACTTATGAAAGACAGTACTACAATATGGTATCAATCAATAAAAGACTAATAATTTATATTTGTCCTGTAAGACAGGAAAAATGTATTTACACCTGAACCTAGCACCACTGATAAAGACAGACTTTCTCCAGCTGTCTGGTTTCGGTCATGTCAGATCCTCTAGTTGAGCATTTTTAGTATGGAAGCACTCTCTATCAACAATCCAGACTAATTTTGAAAGCATGCTCTAATCACTTTCCCTA